TTTGTTGTGCTTTTCTTTTATTTTATTGTTAAAAAATCGCTTGCTTTATGATATTTTGTTCGCCTTTTCATGTTTTTCCCTTGTCTGTGCGTCGGATTGTGTTGGTCAGCAAAGTTTGCTTTTTATGATTTTTAGTTTCGCCCGAGATGCGTTGGTGCGTTGAAAGGGTTTGTAACCCCATCTCATCCCAGCGGTAATGTGTCAGAGAAAAGGGGCTGGGTTCGTAGGCTTCATATGGTCTGGCCCATTAAATTGGCCATATTTTTTGGTCATAAGCAGACGCTAAAAATCGCATAGTTTATGCCTGCCTTCAGTTTTGTTCGAAAAGTTTTGTTCAATGAGTTGGAAGCATATGGTTGTGAGAATGGGCTTCCTGTGAGTCTATCTCCTTAGGGTAAAAATAGTTTAACAGAGATGGGCTCTTTCTTAAAGACTAAACCTAATATAGCATTTGACTGTTATCTTAAGTTTCCCATTTCTGGTTCTGTTTATTTTCGCTTAGCCTTCGGATGCGTTTTTCCCCCGAGATATTTCATTTTGGCCGTTTCCCCAACTCTTACCCCGTTCCTGTCGACCATTCCAATTCAATTTCCTTTCAGAGCAGGAAAACTTAGAGTGATGAATTGCATTCCAAGTCTCATTGGCAGCTACTGCTTCTAGTTCAATTCTAGGCTTAAGTCTATTGAACTTTGACTTCGGTCAATGACAATGTTGGTGCTGCCGCTCCTTGTGTTACTACCGATGATGATGATGATAACGATGATGGCCAGCATCTTTGGCCATGTTCGGCTTCGGTTCGCAGTGTAAGTGCAGATAAATTATTTTTTGAACGGCAGGCAAGGGAAATATTTTACATTCTGGGCGGACAGGACCAAACTGGGCGTGGTGCTCACAGTTCGAACTCTTTTGCATACCATACAGATATATATATGTGTACCAGTGGGTATCTCCCGACAAGCTCGTGAATATTTCTGGTTCTCGTTGTCGATGTGCTGCTTGTTTGTTTGTTGGCCATGTTCGGTCCTGCCTTCGGCTGATCATACCCTCTTTTGGCCCTCTCCACGCGTTTGCAGCCATTGTTGTTTGCATATTTGCATTAAAAACGGCAAACACTTTTAACCAAACACATGTAAAGCGGTGTTGTCTCTCTGTCTCTTTCAATGTGTCGCCTGTCGACAAATATAACCGAACATAAATCATCCGTAGCAGTCGCATAAATAATAAATACACACACTCTTGTCCACTAACAGAGATGTGTGGGCTTTCGATGAATGTGCTTAAATTGTTTCTGCATTATAAGCTTAAAATCAGTTGATAGCTGTTTTTAGTTTTATTTATGTTATTATTGAGAATACAGCATATCATGTGTTTTGGGCTAACAAAATAGTTTAAGAGCTTGAAAATGTACCAAATGAAAGATATAAAACATAAACAAAAATGTTTTAAAACTATTTTAAGCTCTGAAATATAAAAAGTCCAAACAACATATTCTATTGAATACGTAAACGTATTAATACGACTATTGACAGAATACATTTAAATATTATTTATAAACAATTGTACCCTTTAACAAAAAAAATAAATACCAAAATGAACACTAAATTCCTGTCACAGGCAAAACCATCTTAAACACACTCTCTCCTTATCCTTTCGAAAATTCGGGCAGTTTGTCATTAACTTTTGCACAAAAAGAAAAACGGATAAATATAACTGAAAATCCACTTGTAAAAATATTAATTTTCCAGCATTGTGAAACTGTCGCCAGCTCTCGCCAACTCTAAAACAACAATAACAGCGGCCGCCAAGAAAAAGTCTGGTCGCAACATGGCTAAGAACATTCAGCCATAATTCTTTTTCCAAGCCGCAAAATAAAAACCGGCCAGCGAAAATTCGTGACGCGGGAAAAGACTGAGGCCGGGCAAACGAAAAAAAAAAAAAAACAATTTCCACTTTTTGCCAAGCGAATTCATAATTCATTGTGCCAGCTGTGTGAGTGGGGGAAGTGGCGAGTGGCAACCACACCAAGGGTTGGCTATCATTTACACCATGCAGTTTGCCCATTTCCATCTCTACCCCAGCTGCCCCCCTGCCCCGCGTTCATCATGCAAAAACCATTTTTTGCTCTGTGCGCTGAAAATTAATTTGCTCACGCGCCAAACGGAAAAGTCTCTGGAGTCCGAAAAAATGGTTTCATCTGCAATGCGACGCCAACAGTTGCCATTTTTACCCCGTCACCCCCCTCCAGTTTTGCTCCCCCTACCTTACTCCATACTCCATTGGCCAGGACTCGAGTCTGAGCTGGTCGTTCATTTTATGCGACGGCCATCGCATAAATTTCACAAAATTTCATACATCAATACGGCTGGGTGAAGTGGGCAAATGCGAGAAAATGGCAGAAAATTTCTGCGGTCTGGCACTTCAGCTGATTAGACGACCGCAAAACTCTTCGAATATTTCAGAGCGATTGCAATAAAAGCGATACCTTTTCAGTGTGCGTCCACGGGGCGTATGCGCAATATTTGCCACTGGGCAGGCGGCCAAGAAATAAAGTGCTGCCCGTATTTTTTGTGGCTGTGGGCCCATGCACCTGCGGTCGCAGAACTAAATATTTGAGTGGCATCGCCGTTGTTGTGACGCCCCAAACCAAGTGACCCATAAAATGCCACCACAGCTCGCCGCCAACTGTTGCAAGTCCGCAACTCCACCGCAAGCAGCTGTCCCCTGTCTCCCGCGTCATCGCTTTATGCACACCGCTTGGACGCCTCCCTTCCGGACAGGTTCAATTGCAGTTTAAGCCCTGCTTGAGTGCTCGCAGCGGGATATTTTTGGCAAAAGATTTTTTCGGTCGGCGGAAAGTATTCTTTTCCCTTAGTGGCTATTCATTTCTTGCCTATTGTGAGCTCTTCTCATACCTTTCCAGAGGGTATTTTTATTTAGGTAAAAAAGTTGTGACTTCTCTGAGTCATTTCCGATACTATAAAGCACCCTTTGGCGAGTTGATGTAGTCCTGTTAGCTCAATTTATATATCAATCAGATTAAGTTTGAAAACGGAGCTGGTGGAACGGAAGAATCTTGCATTTTTCGTTGTGTGTCATGTTTTTTTTTGAGAAAATTGTACAACAATTTTTCAGCTGTGAATGCCAATTCACGAAAGATAATTACAATTTTCTTTCGCTCTCGTTTAATAAATAAAATCGAACGATAAGTATAACCATGTCAAAAGTAAAAAAAAATCCAGGTCAAATACAGTTTCTCCACATCCAAGTTTTAAATGGCTACTACTTCTTTTTCTTAATTGCAATATAATTGCTGGAGTATAATATGAAAAAGGGTCCAGAAAAATGCTTTTAAGTCCAAATATTTTCACAACTACGGTGTTCGTATAGAACAAATAAGGTTAGGTCTATTATTATGTTTTTTCCAGTCATCAGATTTTGTTGTCAGTATATCAATATTTTGTGTGTTTTGCAAGAGAAACAAACAAAAAATACATAAACAGTTAAATTGAAACGACTTTTCAGCATTGCAATTTAAATAAGTATTCCAGATACGATATTATTCGATGCAAATATTTAGAGCTGGCAATCAGAGTGAAACAGTGTTGTGATGTGTATGTCGTTGACAGCGTTTTAGATGCAAAACAATATTTCCTCCTACATGTCAGAGCAGGAAAAAAACTCCCTCAATTCGTACCAGACGAAAAACTATTTCCATTTCTTTCAATTCAAATTCCACTGACATTTGCAAAGCTGAACTTTGACAGAAGAGCAAACTAGCCGGGGGGAATGAAATATACGGAGGCGGCGTGACTGTTTGTTGACGTTTCTATTCTATGCATTTATTGTTTTCCCCTCCGGCAGCTTGGAACATTTTTTGAGAGCTGCCAAAAACGTTCGGCATTTCGGAAGAAAAAAATCCAATTGACATTCGGACTGCTTTCGGTGAAGAGAACGGGTTCCAAACACTCGGATTATGACTGGGTTCTGGCCAAAGTAATTGCGTGGTCCCAATTTGATTGTCCTTTTCTTATTCAAAAACTTTCGGATGCAAACTGTACGGAATTGTTACAACTTGTGGCATAAATATGCATAAGCTGCAAAGTCCGTTCCCAGCAGATCCCGCTCTGATCTGCTGGAGTTCGGCTTAACAGGACATGCCATAAATGTCCCGCACATGTCCATCAACGTCAGGGATTGTAAGTTCTCCATCCCGTTCCCGTTGTGGCATTTGCATTCTGCATCCTACAGCTGCCACAATTGCTGTTCGGCCATTTGCCAGGATATTCAGACCCTTGTGTGTTTATCGTTTTGCATACGCATTATTTATTAAGACTGCCAGTGAGAGTTGGCCAGGAGTCCTGAGGGACTGAAATCACTGCAGCTCAGTACTCGTACTTGGCATTAAGTAGGCCTTTCGGCTGTTCAGGATCCACAGCCACATCCTGACACAACTGGCAGCTGCGCAAATTCCTAAGAGTGATTAGCATGCAAAATGTTTAGGGTTTATTGTTTTAGCAAAACTAATTAGTTTGAGTAATTGAAACTTGAATTCGGGCAATCGCTTGGAGAGCTATTCGCTTTCTATCGAAATTCATGCATGCTGTAGTTTCCTTTGTAGTCAACTGCAAGTTTGAAGGAACTTGCCTCGGGTTATTGGATAGGTCAAGGGTCGGGGTATGAGGCAATGCCAAGAAGTTTGATAAGACAAATTGAAATGGCATATGCCGCAGGGTAAATTCCAAATGCAAACAGTTCAGAAAGCAATGATAATGCAGATTGAGATTGCTTGCCTAATGACGATTGGTTTAAGATTACTATTACTATTAGTGTTGCAGTACATTAGTTTTTGTGTTTTCTTTCTATGAAACCACGGAAGTTAATATTTAGCTTAATAATTAAGATACTGGGGAAATAAGGCATTACATTAGCATTCAACTATAATTCTAACCTAACCATTTGTATACTTTATTTATAATGACCTTTTATCTTTCCCATTTCAGCCGCCACTTTTGAATACACAAATAAGGAAGAAGTCAAGTAAATCAATAGTAACCAAATGCTACAAAGCACTGCCATATACAATTGCAACGGATTGCATTAGGAAAACTAATTGAATAGCTCAACATTTATAGAATACCATACGAAAGTATAGAATAATATAGCAACTACAGAATAGGAAAACTATACAAAATCGGAGACCACGAACCAATGAGAGAGAAAAGGCAAAACAGGAACATCAACAGCAAATTAGGAACTTGTAAAACCTCCCAGTCTCTCCAAATGAATGAAGCCGAAAAAACAAGAAAGGAAGTTGAAATATAAACTTTTATTGTAAGAGAAAACACATAAAAAGAATAGAAAATCGCTCTTCGGGTTGTAAAGAAAATAAGAAGACAAAAGAAAGACATAATAATGTTGCAAACAATAAAACATATACTTGCCATATTGATATAAAAGGAGAACGTTAAAAGGCGGTGAAAATTTCATAAGATTAGTAGGTATTAAGGGAAGCCCTGGCACACAACACAAAAGGGAATTTAGCCCTCTGAAAGAAGGGACAATGTAAGCTGCAGCAGCGGGATAAGGCCGAAAAAATCTGAAAATTAAATTATAGTAATCTAGTAGAAAGCAGACAACATATCCGCTGGCAACAACCAACACCGAAAGAGACTATGAAAAATGCACAACTGAAACTGACTGAAGTTGACGATGATGAGCTGTGGCTGGCAGTAAGATTAGCGCACTGCACCAGCAGCAGTGGCAGCAGCAGCAGCAGCAACAACAACACCACCAGCAACCCAAATAACAGCAATAGCAGCAGCAACAAGAGGCAAAACCAGCAATTCACCCAACTGCAACCAAGGAGCTTAAGTACAAAACACCACAGCAACATTGCAAGCGAGCAGCACAATAGCCAAGAACAAAAGCCAGCACCAAAAGCGGAATATGTAGCCACCCACGTGAGCGGCAATGACCAGCAGCAACAGCTAGACAGCAGCAACATGTTGTCGCCAAAGACAGCCGCAGCAATTGCTGGCGGCAATCAAGCAACAACCCAACAACCAACAAACATAAGACTGTGTGCACGCAAGCGACAAAGATTGCGTCGCCGACGAAAAAGAAAACCAGCAACCCCAAACGAAGCAGAGGCAGCAACAGCAACTGCAACAGCAGCAACATTAGCAGCAGCAACCACTAGCAATAGCAACAGCATAAGCAACAGCAATCTGCATCCGATAGCCACCTACATGCAATGTCGCACCAGCGACAACGACACCAGCATTCCGATATCGAGTCATCACCTTTACCAGGCCACTTTCGTGTGGATGTTGCAGGTGTTGCTGGTGTCGCTGCAACAGTGGCAACGTCACGTGCAACAGCGAGCGGTACTTCTGCTCAGAGGGATCGCCACCAGCACCACCGCCTTCATTTCCTATTTAGGCAGCTTAGCGGCGCAGCTGAGGAGCAGATGCAGTCACAGCAGCAGTTCCAGCAACCACAGCAGCAGCAGCAGCACCCAAATAATCAACGGACTTAATAAACACTCATGGATATTTTTATTGATATATTTGAATTTATCTGCTAAAGGTGAGTGCCATTAAATTTATCTCAAGTGCTCGAGTGCCGCCTGCAACATCAGCAACAGCTATTGCAAGCAACAGTTGCCGCACATCGCATTGTTCACCACTGGCAGCAGCAGCAGCTGCAACAGCAACAGCAACATAATGCACGCCAGCAACATATTGTCACTTTGACACATAAAACCACTCACGTGGGCGATATTTTGTGGGCCTGCGTTGTCGTTGTCGTTGTCGTCCTGCTGCCCCTAGTTGATGTTATTGTTGTTTGCCAGTTGTGACATTTACGACAGCCTCAAGTGAAGCAACAACAGCCATCTCAGACCGGTCTATCCCACTTAAAAGCGTCTGCGCCTAAGGTTATTTTCTTTCTTTTCCTCTGTCGCCCCCACTTGAGAAGTCCTTAGTCCTTGTTCGTGGCGAACGCGTGGCAGACCGCAGTTGAGGCCCTTCAAAGGTTATGCTGCATAAACGTTGTGGAGCCAGATGCACCTGAACGAGGCCTATTGAAGGATAAACCTTTTAATGAATATAATTGAGAAGCTTCCTCTTTTATGCTTTAATTGGCACTTCCCCAAACTAAAAACGGTTACGTTGAAGAGGTATCACTTAAAGCCCTCCTCATGGAACGAAATCTACTGGTTAATTAAACTAAATTCCCTGCCTTAGTTGACCCACATTTTTTGGCATAAAAACTATTTGCCAAAAACTAAGCAAAGTCATGTCGAACAATGTGTGGCTGCTGCTGTGCCGAAAAGTTGCAATGCCATAAATACTTTCAACAAGCATTTGCTGCACAGAAATTTCCCATCTCAAGTGGTTTGGCAAGTGGCAAGGGGTTTCGAAAATCTTTTTAATGGTTTACTTTTTTTTTCTTTTTTGCCCCTACTGCGCTGCACTAAAAGCTTAAAATTTCTTTGTCACGGCAACAATATTTTCAACGAGACAAGGAGCAAGTTTGGTTAGCAGCTCAAATGCCTGCCATTCCATTAACAGCAGCAAAAAACAAACCCACCTGAAGATGGTGGCGAGGAGATGGCTTGACTGCCACTTACACATATTGGGGTTATTAATGGCTGCCCATATGGGCTGGGGGAGCAAAAAGCACAAGATGGAAAGTGTTGCCAATGTTTCAGGCTGGCGCAGGGTAAGCCCCATTCGCGTGTCGCGGTTAGCGTGCCAGGCTATGGAAGCGTAAATAAGTACTCTCCTTGTACGGTGGTGCAAGTGGTTGAAAGACAAACTTCATTTGGCTTTCTTAGTTTTATATTATATTTCTCTTGTTAGTTAATAAATACAGTTAAAATAGGGAAGCTTACAGGAAGTTTAATATATATATTAATAGATGTTCGTCTTCTTTTGTTCAAGATTTATATCTTTGAGGCCTTGTCAAATGGATCTATAAATTATCTGTTTAAAATATCAATTAATCAGTAATTGATTAGTAGCAGAAAGTACTTGGTTTTAATGTTAATAGCTTTTAAATTAAGTCAAGCAAAGCAAAGTCTTGATGTAGGTTTTAACAAACCATTCAAAATTTTAAGAGTCTTCAAACCACTGTCCAATTTCTGTATTCATAAATTTTAGCCATGTGTGTGCGATGGGGCAACTTGTGTGTCTGCAGTCGAAGTCGTTCATTCCCTTTTCGTTTTTTGTGTCTGTCCTGTCGCTTTGGCTTTGAGTTCATGTTTCATGCAGCACCAACGGCAGCAGCAGTGGCAGCAACAGCAGCAGTTTCAACAACAATTGCCGTTTGTCCATATGCGTGTGCATGTTTATGATTTTATGGCGGCACTTCCGTTTCCGCTCGGGCCATACTGTACAGTCCACCCCTCCCCATCCCCCCTTTCTCCTTTCTGCGGCCTTTCTCCTGGCTGCCATCGCTAATCAGATTTAAACTTTGCACAACGTCAACGTTGCTTACACCAGCTGTGAATGTGTGTGCGGTTGTTACTGTATTCATGTGTCGAGTATGCGCTTGCCCTATGACATCGTTCATACGCCCCGTTGGCCAGCCAAGTGCCCCTCCTACTTTTCCCTGGTCATGTCCTGTAAGTATGACATTTATTGCTACGGAAAGGCTTTTGGCATGCTTCAAGACTTCAAGACTCTTCGAATCTGACAGCCCCCCGTTGTTTCATTTCTTGTCTTTTGGCGCTTACATAAGATGATAGAATTAATTTATATTTTGGCAAGAGAAGTTTTTTTAAAGGCTTAACTTTGGGTATTCAATTAAAATTCAATGTGGTCTTTGTAAACTTTAATTTCACTAAGAATAAAATGGTTAGATTCACAGATTTATTCGTTGTTATACAACATAGTCAAATATGTTTTCTATTGTGAGCTGCCTTATGCTTACAACTTTTGTACACCCACAACGGAATGCATTATTCAGGCATTTTTGCAAACTGTCAACTTTCCTTAGGTTCTATCAATCTATACGATAAATGTCACAAGTTCCCTTCCATCATTACGTAAAGGGTTGGACAAGAAAAAAAAAAACACAATGTCATGCCTGCCATTTGCATTATGGGACCCATCCAAACTCCGAGCATCGCACACATGTGGCTGAGACAGATGATGGGACCGGGCAAAAATAATCTCCAGCCCATATCCAGTATTTCAAAGGATCAAATGTGAAGCTGTAGCAAAGAGGGGGGAATAAAATCAATCATTAAATGTGATAGCATTCATAATTTTCAATAGTGGACACAAGGCATTTTGATTGATAGGCCTGCCAGGAAAGTTCCGGGAATGTCAGTTACTTTTTTCACTGAGAAAAGGAAGTGAAATACTATACCTTCAAAATATGTCATTGCCAGAAGTACCTCAAGTTTAGATATTTTTATCCAAATCTAAAATTTAAAAATCGTTAAAAAATGAAATAAGAGAATAAAGGAAGCGTAGGGAATTTATAAACTTTACTGCTTGTACATGAACTTTGAGGGGAATATAATATTTTTCGGGCTTTTCCAAGCAGCGCTGTTTTGTCTCTTCCTCAGCTTTGCTCCTTTCCAAAGCTGTCTATCGATTTGTTTCCATTTTTAGGGCCACTCTTGTCTCAGGTTACTCTATCTGCCCCATCCGTGCCCGCTGGAAAAAGAAACAGGAAAAAGGAAAACAAGAAAGTCATAAGCAATTAAATGCTTTCCCAGCTCCCAAGCCCCATCCAATTAAGGGCAACTGTATGTGTGTGTGTGTGTGTGTGGGGTGGATTGCTAGGGACTCCGAAGGGGCGGGTTAGTGTTGGAATTTTTATTGCATAAATTAAGCTTTGAATGGTTAAGCGTCACCTTGGCGCTATTAAAATGCTCGCTTCTGAGCTCTCTCGTTTCCCAAAGCCGGCATCCTCCTCCGCAAATCCTTGCCCCTGCCCCGCACCCATTAGCAGGTGGGCTGTCGAGGGACTGCCTGTACAGTGTTCACCCTTCTGAGCAGACAGTCATCAAGCTTCATCACTTTGCCCCCCCTCCCCGCTTTCTTCGGGACCGCCCCACACCATCTTGTATCGGTTTTGGGAGCTTAAGTGGTTTGGCGCCCCGTCAGTTTTCATTTTGCTTTCAATTTTTAATATCGGCGGACAGCGCGAAATATTTCGCCCGTCTTTTTACTCTTACCTTAGGTTGTTTGGCCAAGGCAAAGAATATAGGTTTAAGTACTCATAATCTTAACAATGGGAAACATTTTTAAAAATGTTTCTAGTTTAATTTTGGCTTTTTTTAGAAAGCAAAGTAAAATAAATTAAAAATGTATTGAACATTAAGCTGATTTTGCTATTGATCTTAAAAATTAATATTTTCTTAAATAGAAAATATCCTTAAGCATATACTTCCGAAAAAAATAATTTTTAAACTATTTTAATTTGTAAAAACATCATATTAAAGAGTATTCATTTATTGGTTTTTCGACTACTAAGGCATTCTAGGAGAACTCCTTATTTTTCGGTGTTGTTATTTTTTTTTTTTTTGGGGCATCGGCCAATTTGCTGTCGTTATTATGGTTGTGTGTTGCGGCGTGTGTTTCGTAGGCAGCTGCATTTTCTAAACAATTTTGGGTTGTTTTTTATTTGGCACATTAAATTGGCCCGCTCGAGTGTGCCTCATTCCCGCAGTTCCTGCAACCCAGAGTCCTTGCAGCTGTTGCCGCACTTCCTCGCGCTGTCTCCCTCTCTCTCTCTGTCTCCACCTCTCTCTGTCTGGCAAACGACTTGGTTTGGCTTTGTGAAATAGCAATTACTTTTTCATGCTCCACTGCAATAAAATTGCAATTTTATGCGGCCTGCCGACGGACAATAACAAAAACAACAGCAACAACAAGCGAAGCATCAACAACAAAAAAGAAAATTTAACGAAACGGAAGTGCAGCCATTGAAAAGGCATTTCGAAATGGCCGCAGTCTGTTGGGAAAATAGAGAGAGAGGAAAGAAAGCCAAATTTAAAGATGACTTGACTTCGTGAAAAGTTAACGACACAAGAATGGAAAGTTAATGACTCTTTATATGTTTGTGCTACTCACTAATTACCTAAAATTCTTTAACAGAACGATTTTTAGTTTAAAGCGCGTGCTGGCTTAAGGTTTTGCAAAGATAGTTTAAGTTTAATTCATCAACATTTGATTTTGTACGTTATTCACATTGTGAGTATTATTTACTTTTCATAAAATATAAATGTTTGTATGTTAATTTCTTGTAGTTTACTACGGCGTGTTCTTCTTTCTGAAAGAAGTTATGTCTTTTAGAATTAATTCTAGTTAAGCTAGGGATAGAATAGTTTGGTGATGCTGATCAAGAATATAAGTATATACTTTATTAGGCTTCTTTGCTAACTTTTTTAAGCTTCAGAAACAGCTCTTACTCTATTTTTTATATTTTCTTTCAAGTCTGTTAATAATGGTTAGACAACAAAAGCAAATAAAAACAAAAGTCTCGACTGATGGTCTGGTGATGTCGCAGTCAAAAGTCGGCAAAGTCGCCGAATCCTTTGTGTCCGGTCACAATGGCCGGCCGATACTCAGGATCGCTGGCAGCCCTCATATTTGTTTTATTATCACATTCATTTTGACACTTCATCAGACGTTGGCCTCTTTTTTTGTTGTCCTGCTGTTTTGTCTTTTCAGAGCCTCTGCTGTGCTCCTGTTGCTTTGTTCTAGGCCCACTCCTCGACTCGGTTGCTGGTGTCAATGCTTTGCCTTAAGGGCCTAACTAGGTGCCCTGTCCAACCCCCCAACCACCCAACCCACCAACCCTCCGCCCCCCCCGCACTCATTGTTGGCCTGGCCCGAGCTCGTTAGCTGCAGTTTTTCCTTCATCTGGTCTCTCTGCTTTTTTCTTGGCCCGCAGGCTCGTCATTTTGTTTTAATATTAAATGAACAAGGAAGAGCGCGTGAAAAGCGAATGAAATATGCAAAAACGGCAGAGAAAGTGGCGGGGCTAGAGAAAGCCAGATGGAACAGGGCTAAAGACAAATTAAAACTAAAAAATTCATGTGCATAATTTCTAAACGCTGTTCATTTTGTATGCAAATCTTTTGGGTTAAGCGGGCTAAGCTGGCTAAAAGTGAAAAGTTTTCTACGTACAACGGATGCCAAACTTTCGATTCTGCTAACAAAAAAAATGGGGATGCACACAAAGCACGAAGTGGAATAATTCGAGAATTTAATTACAGACCTCTTCAAATGCAGGGCAAATGGCGCATTGCACATCAATCTGGGGTTAATTCAATTTTCAAGAACCTCATCAATGGCAATTTTTGCTGATTATTTTTCCCTTTGCCACATGAACTGCATTCTCAATCGCTCAACTCGATAAATCCGCAACTTATTGCTACTTACTGTCTGATTATAGTGCTTCCATGGAAAAAACGGGGGAGGATGGTGGAAAAAAAAACGTGGGGAAAACTCTTAAGGAATTATCAAATTGAGAGGCAAGGAGCAGGAGAGCAACTTGGATTTCTCCTTCGACTTCATCTAGTTTCTTTTGTAGTTTCTTCTGCTGCCCACATTCATGCATAAATAATTCCACGATAACGATGCGAATATGTCCGTCCCTGCATTTGTGTATGTGTGGGTGTGTGTGTGTGGGTGAGGCAATCTATTATCGCTGGGGAAAAAACGTAACAAGAAAATTTGTATGTGAAAAACTTTTGCTCAATAAAAGTTTCCTTTTGTTATTCGCCTGCCAGAGAACAATGGTCTCTCTCTCCACACACAAACACAGTTCTCGACTGAGAAAGACATATGTGTGTTGGCAAAGCGAAGAACAAAAACTTTTCCCCTGCCATCCCTTTTCCGAACTCCTTTCTCTGTTGCCTTTCCAATCCGACGCCGACTGCAAGACCCGCATCCACACAGGTCCTGAATTCAGCCCCAAAGCAGAGGCCCAAGTCCAAGGACCAAGCAAAACCAAGTTGCAGAAACCAAAAAACTCGTAAACTTTTGCATATCAATAAATTTTAGCTGTTGTCTTCCTTACCCCGCAACCAAACCCATTTCCCGAATTATTGATGTTGATTTGCGGCACCCCGGCGAAATAGCAAACAGTTGCTGCAGTCCTTATGCAGTATTTATCCCTACCCTTCTAGTAACCAAGTTGCTTAAGTAAGTTGGATGCACTAATTCGAATTTTATCTACTTGCAGTTTGCCTAGCAGGATATCATGAAAAGAGACTGTTACGTGATCTTTTGGATCCTTATAATACACTAGAACGTCCCGTTCTCAATGAATCGGACCCGTTACAATTAAGCTTTGGGTTAACTTTAATGCAAATTATCGATGTGGTAAGTAATAATTACATTTAAAGTAGGATAAGCAATAAAACTTATTTATTACTCACTTAAAAATCAATCAATCAGTTTTAAGATAAATTTTCAATATGAATTCATTTTTATCATTTAACATAACTGTTAATAAATATAAATAAAATACATTTTTAAGTTTTAGCTCTTAAAATCAAGAAAATATTATTATTTGTATAGATTAAAATAAAAATTTAAGTGCCAAAAGAAATACATTTATTTAAATGTGAAAAACAAAAGTTTAATTCTAAGTCAACAAATCGGGCAATATTTAGTTTGCTGAGAGGCTTTGCTGTGATTAAGATCACGAAATTAAAAGCATTCCTTTAATTTCCCGTTTTAATTACCGCCAGTTCTGGGTGAGCAAAGAACTTTCAGTTTCACAATTTGTTCCCCCTTTTGAAAAGGAGCCTTAAAGTAAAAGTAGGCAGCTGAAAAAAGAATCCCTGATGACACAATTTGGTCCTGGGTAAAAAGTGAATTGCCAAGAAAGTGAAATTTTAATTATTTGCCGGAGAGCAGCGCACACACACATGTTGGCTGTTCCTTGAATGGCAGCTACCCCTTCCCCTCACCTCTGGCCTATTTGCAGACAGGACACACACATATCCTGGCTGACTGGCAGTGTCGAGCAAATTACATGCAACGTCATGTGGCATGTGCGGCGTTTGACTCATTCTCACCTTTCGACCGTCCGTCCTTCGTTCGTTCGTTCTGCATTCATCAGTTGCGAAAACTTTTCCCTAACTTACAATTGCGTAGGGGTTGAAAAGTCACGGGGGTGTGGGGGTGGAGTACCCTAGTGAAGGAACTGGCGAGCGAATAAGGTGGAAACTGTCGGAAAAGGCGACGCGAGGCGTTTGCCTTTGTTAGTGAGACAACCTCAATTCATATTAGATTTGCATGGCATTTGTCCGTGTGTGTGGCTTGTTTGTTTGCCCATCCCCCCCTCTCCTCATCCCCCCTGACAGAAGCCAGGAGCATGGAGCCAGGACCTAACCAGGACCAGATCCTGAGCCGGGGAAGGAGCCTGAGCCTGGTGTCCCGCACAAAGTTCGGATTCAGCAAAATGGAGCGCACAAACAAAAGGCACTCACACATGAGGCATGAAAAGCAAAAACAGCAACGCAGAAAAGTTGCTGCTGGCATATATGGCTGAGCAAAAAAAAAATAAAAGCGAAAACGAAAACGATTCCAGACGCTAGAAAACTGCGCATTCAGTGACGCGCTAAAAGTCGCACATACACAAACAAATACACTCACACAAAGGCAAACAGCGAAAAGCAATGCAAAGTGCACTTGAAGAAAAACTAATTTTTTAAGGATAAATAAAAAGTATTTAATTTCCAGAGTTTATGCTGTGATAATGTGGATTAAATCATTAATAACTGAATAAGAAAAATACCAAAAATAATATAATGACAAAACAACAGTAAATAGGTAATAGTTAGATCAAAATGCTAAACCTCCAAATGATTTATTTTTTTAAAAAATGTAAGGATCTCCGAATGTATGGCCTCCGATTTTGGACTGTGCATTTACAATAAAATACACCCGTACACACTTGGCATGCAAATAAAATGAATAAATAAAATTTGCACATGTGCTTTTCACACCTTGTGCCAAAACATATAAACCCGAGGGCTGGCGAGGGGGTGGTGTTTTGAGGGTTCCTGGGGGGGGCGGGGGATTCGCGTGGGCAAAGCAATGAAGTGCGAGTTGCTGCTGGTGCAAAATGAAGTCGAAAGAACAGAACGAATGGGCACAATGCGCTGGCAGTCGTTGTTTGTTGCCGCTTTGTGTGGCAGTAAAACTGCAGCACGCACACTCGAAACGCAGCAGAAAAGCAGCAAAAGCAGCAGGAAAGCAGCAGAAAAGCAGCAGTGGCGGCAATTACAGGGCACTGGGAACGAAGAGCTACGCGCTGGGCATAAAAACCAAAATCGGGTCATTCGGGTAAAATGAGAGAGAATGACGGCCGTTACCACCTTTGGATGCCAAACTAGGGTTTATGAGCCCCGCGGTGTACTCAAACTTTTATTGCGCCCCGTTAGTGGCCCGCTTAGATGTCACGGCAATCAAAAGTTGTTAATGCTTCACGGGGAATCGTAATCGCAAGGAAATTAGTTGCATATGGTGCGATAATAAAGGATATTACTCTCCTGCTGCTCCCCATCGCAGTTGGAATATCCGTTTATTGCACCAGCTCACAAAAAAAGTCGTTAAAGGGTCGTTTCCTTTTCTGAAAATGATTTTGTTTAATTTGGAATATTATTGGTTATTTTTATTTTTATAGAAGCTTTGTCGATTAAGAAAATAGGCTATTATTAAAATTATAAAAGTCCAGCTTAACTATCTTAAAATATTCCCTATTTACTTAAGATATTACCTATCTTAAAATACAAGAAAAAGACAAACAAATTGCTTTATTTGTATAATATTATCCTTAATTAAAAATCGTTAATCAATACTAAAGCTCAGTGCTACCTGTAATCTTTTAACATATTAAAACAAAAGTGAAAATATGTTTCAATTTGGGGGAAAACCAATTGGTATTACCATTGTGCAATCAATTGAATCAGAAAATTGCAATGGAAAGTCAAAGAATGTTGCTCTCAAACCAGGGTTTTTTGTGAAAAGTAAACGGCTTTTCTGCCAGTTGCAGGTCGGCAGTGCCATTAGTTGTCTGTCGAGGATATGCCATCGCTTGACGGTGGCAATATTTTAACTGTTAAATGCAGTGGCTCCCGTCGCATTTGCATATTTTTTTCCACCTCCAACTGGGTCTCCAAGCAATTTAAAGATTAAGCACCTGGCAGGGATTCTCGAACGGCGATGGGCACTGCAATTGAAAGTGCTACAACGAGAGTCCTTCTGAACAAAGGAAAAATGGTTACATTGAGGGCCCTTTGCCGCTTTCATCAATTTCACTTATCAGGCAATGTCAACAGCTCCTTCGGCAGCTCTCCAGAAAGTGAGCTTGGGAGGATTCTAATCACACGGCTTTTCAAACAATGGCAGTCCTTGTGTGTAATATGGTTTTTATCCCCATTTGATTTATGTAAGGCTCAGGTCATAATTGCTTTCCCCGGAGGTCACCTGCCCATGTGGATGGGACAATGCGAACGGACGCCCTCCCTTCTCACATCCTGTTGGCAATTCTTCCGCTGGAAATTGCATTTTCTTCAGTCCCGAGTTTGTGTTAGTGTCCGGAAGAGCTTTTCCTTTTGTTAAGCGCCACGCCAGGCAACAAAATTAGAATGCCTTCGTGTTACACTTGCCAGCGGATTTCTATTCTTGGCCCACGGTACACGTTGGCCATCAATGCTCGGTGGGTCTGCCAGGTTTCCATCAACATAAACAGGTTTCCCATGTGCATAGATGGTTATGGACATGCTTGGCATACTTTCGCAAATGCTTTCAATGCATTTTCGGCCGTGGTTTGGGGCTTGGAAAGCTTCACTCACTTTCACTTTGATTGATGTTGCTGCCAGTGCAAATGACTGAGACGGAGAGTCCTCCTCCATACGGTTCCCTGTTTTTCTGTGCAGACACGACTTTGTCAAATGAGCACAACGTCGCAGGCACACATAAATACACGTAAGCGATGGCAGGATGGCTGTCCTGTCCAGAGAATTGCTCAATGGCTTGTGGCTGGCAAAGTGTTTGGCAGGAATTGGGACAGCCCTTTGACCACTGCTGACACAACTGTACTAGGGCTACATTCCTCACAAAAATTGTTGAGAGTTATAGTATTCAATTTAATTGAATGTGGAAAATATTTTAGAAAATTAGTTAAAGAAACTAAAAATATTCATACATCCTAGAAATGTTAAAATAGGTACTTAAGACATTGTAAATACTTATTTTTGATTAAGGAGTATATTCATATAAGCATTCGAGTATGTGTGCTTTAGGGATAAAGGCGGTTTAACTCGTATACAGTGTTCCAATTTAATTGCATTTTGCCAATGCCCAAGGATCACTCTTGTTAAGAAAAATAATAATAAAAGCGCTATTGGAATCAGTTCCAATTATTTCCGCAGCGAAAGAAATGAATATTGAAGTGTTTTTTAATTAAATGCACTGACTGAAAACAATCTCCATGCCGAAAGTATATTGAGTGCTGGATACTCGAGTTAAAGTAAATAATGAAAACAATAAACGAAACCACTTAACAATTTAAAAATTAAACAGTCAAGGGAAGAAATTAAACATGAAATGGAAAAGAGTGGAGTATCACGAGTTGTGAGATTCAATTTAAGACGTTAACCCTCCTCGATCTTAAGCGAATTGATTTAAAGTAATAGATACATTAATAATAACGATGTAATTAAAACTGTGTTAATAGCTAAAATCAGTTTAAGCCAATAGTTTTAAACGGATTTCACTTTTTAAGTAAGTCAAATTGAGAACAAGGCTGTGAGTAAGCCAATAAACATTCTTTTCCCGTGCTCTACAATCAGACAGCATGACAAATGGAAAGGGGATTATTGAGAACTATGCTGAAAAAAAACCGAAATAAAAAAAGAGAGTGAAAAACAGGCCAGAGAAAACAGGATACAAAAAGAAGTTGACTGTGAGGGCAAAGCAACCAGGACGAGGCGGTGAAATTACAGGGAAGGTGAGGAGAAAGGCGGCGAAAGTACAAATAAAGAAACTCCCAGGCGCATTAATTAAAAAGGAGCAGACAAAGCGAGGCGCAGATTAATTGGCATCAATGGGAGAAAGACAGTGGCGGTAAAGAGGGCCCAGATAAGGGCCAAGACGCAGGCCAAGGATAAAGGGGGGCGGTTCGGGGCGGAGGAAGTGATTAAGTAGGCACCAGGACGACGGAATGGTAGGGGTGAATATCAACGGATATCAGCGGAAAATGAGTAATGAAGTCGAGATGGGCCAGCCATTTTTTATGCATACAGGACAATGAGAAACTAGGCCCGCCTCTCTGTGTCTATGTGAGTGTGTGTGTGTGCGTGGAAAACGAGCGCCGCGTTTTATGCTACAGTTTCATTCGGCTTCGAGTTGGCTTTCTGTTTTTTAAATTCCCCGAACGTTGTTGGCCTGCCATGTCAATGAACTACCTCTGCGTGTGTATGTGGATTTTGCGAGAATATGTATTTGCGGCGCACATATGCAAATTTCTGCATACCAAAACTTGTCTTTGGCCCGGTCGAAGGCTGGGCAAAAAAAAAATGGTTGGAGGAAATAAAAACTCTTGGGCTGTAATAATTTTTCCGTTTGCTTTTTTTGCTCATTTAAAATTCAACAACTGCCGCCCGCAGACGCCATTTATTTATATATTTTTCTTTGCCTGTTTTAGTAGACTGACATAAGCTCATATGCATTCATATATACGCACACTATTTGAATGCGAATAAGCTTCATTTATACATGGGCTCTTCTCTGCTGCACTAAGAAACACACAAAAACAGCAAACAGGCTTCAAACATTTTTTTCTTTTAAGGATGCATCACAAATGGATTTGTGGCCAGACATTCAACGATGAACAGTGCAACCTTATTTTTATAAATTTAAAACCGAATTTTTTTGTAAAGCTCTTCATAATTCTGAATTAGTGTTGTGTTCTAAGAGCAATTGAGAACTATAAACTATTTTTACAACAGATTTCTTTAACTCAATTTAAAAAATAAAGATTTTAAATTTGTTCGTTTTGGTTTCCATTTAGTCTGAGTTTTTAATTACATTTTTCTCACGCTTCCACGTTTGGCGGTTGTTAGTTTTATAATTGTGTGCACCGCTTTTACTCCAAATGAACATGCGCATTCAAAATTTAAATTGGATGGGTGGAAAATAGGAGTTGCCCCGACAACTGCAGTTGGAATACATAAGCAGAAAGGCAACGTCCTGTCAAAAGCCAGCAGTTGATGGTGAGTTGCGTCTGAGGTTGGGTAAATTAATAAATTTTAATAAGAAAACGCTTTATACCGTGAACTAGGAAACCTAAATGTTGAAATAGAAAAGACATCCAGCGATATTCCATTACATTTCGGTGGCAAGATAAACGGATTACTCGAGTAGCGACTAACCAAAAACGCACTCAATGTGTAAGCCGACAAAATTATAGAGCGTCAACAGAAACTCAATTTGGAAAGCGGAATTTTATTAGGTCGCTGTCCACCCTGTTTCCTGCCATCCAACCCATCCAAGGGAGGGGTGGCCCTTTTCGTCCTCGCCGATGGTCGGGCAAAAACCATGGCATACTTTTTAGCGTCAGGCATTTGTTTGTCTGCTGCGGTCGCAGTCGCAAAGTGCACTGCAAAATATAAGTATGTTTGCCAGTGGGGATGGGAGATAGGTGGCTGGCCGAAATGGACTCTGCTGCAGTCAAGTGCAATAATGTAATAGCTATATTTAGCCAGGCCCTCTCACACACACAGGGACACATTTCATGTTTGCCTTTGCACTGCGTTATGGCCGCAATATTACCGAGTCCTGCCACGTCGCTCCTTTACAACGTTATATTTGCCGCATGCTTCGATTTTGTTGGCTCTTGGTCCGCCCCTCAGCCGATCCGAATGGCGGGGAAAACATATTGGCAGTGCCTGCGGGTTTTTCGGCTCTCCTCCTCTGGGCGGGCGGCTCGATTTCATCTCTACCGCATTCCTGTCGCATATTTGAGCCCATTTTGTGATTGCACTTGCACACTGACTAACGGAAATTGCTCGGACGAAATATTCGAGCGACGCAAGGCCCCTGCTCATTCCGGCGAATCCTTCGCCCCTCCATTCGTATCCCTTTGGTCCTTGGCTCTCGCTTTGTTAGTTAATCGCCAGGGATTTGGTTTTCGCCAGTTGTTTTCATTTTTCCACTGTGCTTTGGTCTCTCATTTCTTCTTTTTTTTTGTTGTTTCCGCTGGCCGCTGCTGCTCACCAAGTGAACCATGAATATTTCAGGCATTTAATTGTAAATTACACATACGCCCTGTGCGCAGCAGTTGAATTTTTTAGGAGCAGCTGCCGCTGCGGCGGATTCGGCGTCTGGTTTCAGTGTAAAGCGCGGATTTGGTTATTGGGCCACATCCCATGGGCCAGTAGGCTAGGCTGCATTTACGAAATTCCACTATCTTGATTAAAGCAGTTTAAAGCAAAAAGCTGGTTTTTCTTTGCTGCTTTTTTTCATGTTATTCATTTACTTTGCAATTCACTTTTTAATCCCTTGGGTAAACTGAAAATTGAATGAGTTATTATTATCCTGAGGATTAAAGGAATAGCTGTACTGCATTAAATATGACTTTAATTCGTAGTGGACAAATTATCAGGGATTCCAATATATTTTAATACGAATAATTTAAGCTTTGTTAAGCCTATGAATAGTTACAAAAAGTGGTTCTTTCATGTGCAAAAATTCTGTTTTTAAATTAAAAAGAAATACATTTTTGACTTGTTTTAACTCTTGCATTAATTTTAGGTATAAAAAGGCACCCCGTTCTTAGCTGTCTGTGTAAGCAACTCGCTCCAGATTTATTCGCATTTTTCAATTGCCATATTTGTCCCACGTGACTGAGCCGCCGACCAAATCCCACCGCAACTCGCATCCGTTGCGGCAGGAAATACTTTATAAAAAACACAGCCAGTGCGAATTCTCAGTCAAACTTTGCACTCTATGAATACAGTTATATGCACTCGCGTTTTTTACTCGTTAATTATTAATACATGATTCCGTACGCCGTGTGTAATTAACTTCCTGTTGGGCATGGCATTTATTTTTGCTTTTCTTTTTTTTCCCCCGATAGGACGAGAAAAATCAATTGCTAGTCACGAATGTGTGGTTGAAACTGGAGTGGAACGACATGAATCTGCGCTGGAACACCTCCGACTACGGCGGCGTGAAGGATCTGCGCATACCGCCGCACCGCATCTGGAAGCCGGACGTGCTGATGTACAACAGTGCGGATGAGGGATTCGACGGCACCTACCAGACGAACGTGGTGGTGCGGAACAACGGATCGTGCCTGTACGTGCCGCCGGGGATCTTCAAGTCGACGTGCAAGATCGACATCACGTGGTTCCCGTTCGACGACCAGCGCTGCGAGATGAAGTTCGGCAGTTGGACATACGACGGATTCCAGGTTTGGTTCAGTCACCCAGCCAAGCAAGGCAACCAGGGAGTACTTCACATACTGAAAAGAACTCGTAGTTGTTATGCTTGACCGATTCGATTCGAGTGTATTTTTATGATTTTCCTTGGTTCACTTTACCTGCATTGATCTGATGCGAGTGAGATATTTACATTATTCTACCCCCTCTCCCTCGAATATCGTATAAAAAGCTGGATTTACAATTACAAGATGAAACTGGCGGTGATATCAGCAGTTACGTGCTCAACGGCGAGTGGGAACTACTGGGTGAGTAAGCCAACGTCGTCCTGGAGCGACAGCCCTCCTCTCTACATACTTCGACATCCAAACTCAGACTCTGAGCAGGCGGTCTTCCCCCGTTCTTCAGTCAGAAAAGATAAAAATTGAGAAATAACTCCGCAATGCTCCCAATTCAGTGTGTGTGGAGGTGGAAGTGGGCACTCTGCGCCAGCGAAAAGACAATGGCGAGGCGCTTAAGAGTCGCCGCTGCTCCTTCGCGGAGTTCTGGCCTTGCGGCTGATTTATAGCATACTTTCGTGTGCCCCACACAGAGATACACTCTCACACACACCGGCATACTTCTACTCTCTCTCTCTATCTCTTACTTACTCTCTTTCACTCTTGAGCAGGGTTCAAGCTGCGAACTAAAGTTCCGAACTCGTTCCGTTCGAAACTACGACTGTGTTGCTCATCGATACGTGATTGAAATCAACGTTCAATCATTTAGGGATGAGAAAGTTTACATCACTGCTTTTTTGATACCTCTCTATAGCTCATATAGTTCATTCATTCAATTTCGAGGTCAATGAATACGGAATTAAGTAAGGCACTCGATGAACCCTGTTGTTATCCCACCCAATTACTCAAATACTTTCGTACTCCACCCAAAAATCACACGCTTATCCAGTGTTCTCCCACTCACTCTACTTTCAAAACAAAAAAAACAACCAAAACTATCGCAAAATCAAATTCTTTGGGCGCTTTAACTTTTAAGTCCGAAATAGCCGCGTAAACATTTCGTTTACTCTCAGTGTAAGAAGCCTGCTTGGAGGAGCATACCTTTAGGTTTCTTAAAAGAGTCTAAATATGCTACTCCAATGGCAGGCCCCAATAATATATAAGCCTGATAAAGAGGTAAGGCCTGGCCCTTGTATGCATTTAATTAGATTATTTTTCCCGGAGTCTATGAATCCTTTTATTAATCGCAGCTAAAGGCATGTGGATAGCGTATACGATAAGAATCTGAATGCTGAATAGAAAACGCTTAAATGCTATACTTATACCTATTGAAAACTGTCTTCAAATACTGAGACAGCCCTGAAGAAATTTAGAAATATTTTGCATTTTGCCTAAAAATATAGATAAGAGAAGGGATAACCTGGAGTAACGCGAATGCAAGACTTGTACATAAATATTTTTAGTTACCACAACCTTATTATAATTTGACATACAAGAAATAATACAACTCAATTATTTTTTTAACAAATCAAATCTACTTTTTATATATAACCTCTATGTTTCGTAAAAAAATAACAGATCATTTTTACCAAGCAGCATTGTTGTGCAACACTTAAGAAAATTGAAAATAAAAAATAAACATGATTTTCTAATAACTTAAAAATTACATTACATTTCATAGTTTTCCATTTTCTACAGTTACAAACAAAATCTAAAAATTATTAATAGTTTTAAAATAACAATATGAACATTTAGCATTTTTAGCAAGATTAGCTAATGAACTAGAGTAAAACAATAAGAGCACAAAGCCGAGAAAATTTAAATAAGGGAAAGCCCAAATATAGCACATTCGCAGTCAATGAGTAAATAGCAGCATCCTCGTGAAAAACCATGACAGCTGAAAATCCTGCCACACCCTCGCTTTTGTTGGCGTTTGAAAGTCTGGAAAAAGTTTGAGCTAACTGAATAGATAAGTAAAGGGAGAAGAGCTATGCTCTTTAGCTGCCCGTTAGAGCCATGCACCAGAACCAATTAAGAAATTAAAGGACAAATACTTCTGCATCCTCGCAAATACATGCACTGTGAATTAGTGCTTCTGCAGACAGAAAAAGTTTTCAACTCAACACTGGCCACAAAAGTGCAAAAGAAAATTGTTTGCAACAAATTTTAGTTTCATTTGCCAACTCCGTTCGTTTTCCTCTTCTGTATTCTTTTATTCCCTATTTTTTGTTTTATTTTTCTGTGCGTAATTTTTGGGAGTTTTCAAAAGTTTTTCGGCTGTTTTTTTTTCTCTTTTGTATGCGCATTTGCGGTTTTTTTCCTCTACCAGCTTATGCAAATTATTTTGAGTTGGCCAAGTGCTCCCAGATATAAGAGGTAAACTGTTTGTGCGGAGGAGTTTGGAAAATTCGAAAGGGGCCCAAGTAGCTAGGTCATTTTTAAATACGCTGCCAAGGCACTTTGTTCGCAGTCTCTGTCTCTGGTAATCCCTTTGGTAATCTTGGAGTAAGTTGAGCAGATAATTTAGCTTCAAGTTTTGTTGTCTACCACTTCCACTCCCCATTTCCTTTTTGTGCATCTCTTTTGGGCATATGGCAAATGCTTTTTGCCAAAAGTTTTTATTGCAAATATGTTTGCGAACATGTCGGGAAATGTAGAAGGGGAAAAGCAATTAAGAGACTGAAGTTATCAGAAGGAAGGGGTGTCATGGTTTTTTTAATGGATGTACTTTATAATACGACCAGAAAGTTTCTCACAAAAAGCAGATTAACAGAAGTTCGAGGAGTCTTTCAATCAGCTAGGACAACTTTTTAGTTTAGCCACCGCTTAAGTTTTATTTGTATACCCAATTGTAGAAACAGTGCCTAATACTATAATGACATACCTAATTATTTATAGGACATTGTGTCAGATAAAATAAATGAAATGAAATGAAAGAAATAATTAGTCTATAAGTATAAATCACACAATCCGTTTAACACATCAGGAACTTTCAATTTACAGCCAATAAACTCCGTTTACACAACTTCACTCTCAACTTTCTTACTCTGATTTTGTACATTGTATATGCATACTTGAATAACCCGCAAACGATTTCTTATCTCTACATACTTTCTACTACGTATTTACATTTTGGAAAGCAAAGTGCATAAAAACTTTTCCCCATAGTAAACTGCTCGGCTTTACTCCACTCTGCTCTGCTCTTACTCAACTTTACTTACAATTAGTTGCCTAGACAAATAAAACTCTTTCCGAAACTAAGTTAACACTCAACCAAACCCAAACCCACAACCGAAACATATACCCGGCATGCACACCCACACTGCACACATAAACCTGCCACTTCTGCCACTCATATCTGTAAAACATTCAAGAACTGTAAATGGCAATAATGCTTCAATTACTCGTACACTTACCAGCCACTCTAGTCTTTGATCTGCTCTGCTCTAAAACCGAACACGCTTTTTACCATATTCCATTTACCATTTACCATTACCTACTCTACTCTACCTTGCTCTACTCCCAACTTTGCTCAACTCTTGTAATATGCTCATAACAAGATGCTCAGCCCGAGTAATAAGTAATGACTGCCACAGATACATATCTGACAAGAACATATATACAGATTAACCGCATTGTATTGTGTATTGTGTAATGACGCTTTGTGTACAATTGAACAATCGCAGGTGTGCCTGGCAAACGTAACGAGATCTATTACAACTGCTGCCCGGAACCCTATATAGATATAACCTTCGCCATCATCATCCGCCGCCGTACGCTGTACTATTTCTTCAACCTGATCATACCATGTGTACTGATTGCCTCCATGGCCCTGCTCGGATTCACCCTGCCGCCGGATTCGGGTGAAAAATTATCACTGGGTAAGCAAGGGGTGCATTCTAATTCTAGTTAAACCAACTAGAAGGGGGGAAAGTAAGCCACATTAATTTTAAACCACTTACGCAACGCAAATACTTGAGAGTAACAGGAGGAAAAGAGCCCCACAATACATGTAAACAGCTTGAGAGCCGCTCGAAAAGTATTTGCCAAGTACTTTTTAAATAATGACAGCCTAGTTGGCGGCAAAAGCAGCGAATTTCAAATTAGGTGCCTTTCATAATCGCGTTGATAAGAATGAGCTGTGGCTCCTTATTTTCCAACCAACCGACTGAGTGACTGACTGACTGACATCGCACATTACCAGTTATTGCCATCGTTACTTATTCCTGCTGATGACGCCACAGTCTCAACGATGGTAAACAAACTATTGAACTTTTAATGCTGCCATGGCTGAGTAGTAAAAAGTGTTCAACGAGCCGGGCGAAAGGAATGCTCTCCAAAGTGTGCTGTCAATCGACGGGGCAGAGCATTAGTGGCTTGGAAAATCAGTTGGGACTCGACTGTTACTCCTTCGATGCTTGAGTACACACAACTGAAATAGAAATAAATGGCTAGCAAGTGGGTGTTGGAAAGTGCACGGCACAGCATTAAAAGGGAAAGGTTGCAGAAAGTTTCACAAGCACTCTGCGAAGAAGTGTGACTTATGTTTGCTGTCGAGAGAAGTCGAGTTTCTCGTTTTAATTACTTAAAAATAACTTGAGGGGTTTCTTATAATGTAAATGGGTTTTTTTTGAAAATTGTTTTTAAATATACAATTTGTAGGAGATCAGCAGCATCTTTAAACAACCTTAAATAAGTTTTTTTTCCTCTCTTAAAGATCTTTATGTATTAAAAATTTAAATTAAATTTACCATATAAACTTAAGTTTAGAATGGTGAGCATATTTATGGACATTGTAATGGAATACTTTATACCAACCAGTCTTGCACTAAGCTGTATACCCTCCTTGATTTCCATGTGATAACCTCATTACTTAATGGAATCTCTTCATCTGATATCTAGGTGTTACCATCTTGCTCTCGCTGACCGTGTTTCTCAATATGGTTGCCGAGACAATGCCGGCCACTTCCGATGCGGTGCCATTGTTGGGTAAGATCATTTTGTTTACCAATTGTAGTCGATGGTAGAGCTTCTCGTAAATGTAAACCTAAATCATGTTATCGCTGTGTCTACTTATTGCCTTTTGAGTTTGCCGTTTTCTAATTGCAATCCATTAAATAAACATTTATTCTGTGATACTTTCATATACCTATGTACTCGTTTATAAATATCTCTAAAGTTGCAGTCGCATATTCATTTTATATATCCATGCATTTCTAAAATGATTTTAAAATCCGAATAAAATCCGATGATTTTATAATATTAAAACTTTGACACACAATTAAAAAAAAAAAACTGAACGATTTTGAGGCACAGCTGTACTTAAGATCTTTTCTTTGGCAGCAAAGTCAAGAGTTATTCAACAATATTTGGCTTTGAAGTCTTAAAGAAAAATACGAGCTGATGCATCAAAAATAAATGTTTCCAAAACAACGTAGCCAAAGAAATCCGATAATTCATAACTAGAAGGGCAAATAAATGTGACTATAAAACCCCTAAAAACGTTGACAAAAATTAAATAATCAATTAATGCGCCTTTATATTACTTAAACCATGAAGACCCAAAGCTAATCAGTACAAATATATAAAATTAAAACACGAGTTGGTTTGAATATTGCACACATATTTGACAACGAGTTTCTTGCACGTTATAAATATTCTCAGTTTCGGTTGTCGAGAAATCAGTATTTTAAATACAGTTGGGTTGTTCCTAGTCCAGCTGAGATAATAAAAGAAAAAGGTAAATAATCAGCTTTAAGTGTATTTATATATTTTCATTAGTTAGTGTCTTTACTAAAAACTAAAACAATGAAGTATTGCATAACTAAAAATAAATATTCTTCTTATTCTATTTCCTTAGTTAGATGATATATTATTTTTTTTAAAGGAACAGCTCCACTATATAAGCAAAATCCAACTCTTAGCCAACCGAATTTAATTTGTTTTTAACTTTTTCGTAACTTTGTTTTTCAAAATTATACAATCGAATCGAATTTGAATATTTTTCTCCAAAAAGTGTTTACAAAATTAAAATTAAAGTTATCTTGTTGAATTTTTCTCATTCCGTTCTTGGCGTACACTTTTTGGTGTCTAACTTTTATATTTACCTAACCTATGTCTAAAGTATACAAACTAAAGTTAACCTCGTGTGTGTGTGAATTAAAAACAGAAAATAAATCTATATGTATTTTTCTTGAAAATAACATTTGCCATGCAATTTAAAAAACCTGAACGATTAAGAAGCTAACAAACAGAAAACCTTTGCATTTAATGTACTAACTAAAATATTTTGTACATATTTCTTGCCTTTTTCTTTCTTTCAAACAAACTATGTACCTTCCGCAAAAATTATATGTGCTCACAAAATGCATATAATACTTAACGAAACAAAACCATACACCATGAATAAAATCTGAACTTTGAAATATGCGTTACCCCAAACGAATTACCACGACAACAACTACCAATCCAACAATATAATAACAATGAAACTAACCTATAATCCATGCACCACTACAACAATTACAATACATTCCTACACTAAACATAATAAATATATATAATATTTATATATATATATATATTGACAACACGCCCAACCAACCAACAGGTACATATTTCAATTGCATAATGTTTATGGTAGCTTCATCCGTTGTGTCAACGATTTTAATATTAAATTATCATCATCGAAATGCTGATACGCACGAAATGTCCGAATGGGTAAGTTGCAAATAGGTCAACCCACCAAACAACCATCCCAAACAACCACAGCAACCAACAAAACTATCTCCAACCAACCAACCAACCAACAACAAAATATCAAAATAAGAAACAACTGCAAAAGCGACCATCACTCATCATTTATAGCTTCAGCTAGTTTTCAGTGGCCCCAGAACAGCAGCTCCAGAGGAACGTCCTATATCCTGCCCCCTATATCCTTTTTCCTTTTTCCAAACGTGGTGCGCAGAACCCGCACAATGCCCCAGAGTCCTCTGTTGCTGTTGGATTTGAGACCACTGTCGCATAGAATTAGCATTTTTTATATGATTTATCTCTGCCAAAAGAGAAAAAATTGCAAAATTTTATGCGAGAGTCATGCTAAGATAATTTATGTGTTAGCTAGCGAAATGTTTTTGTGTTAGCTATTTTCACAATGTTTAGTTACTTGTTGTAATTTGTGTTATATTCCTTTATTGTAAAAACAAAACCTAAAACCATAAACCAATAAAATACAATTTAAATAAAAACAAGAATGTACTCAGTCAGAAATGAGCTTCAACAGGGTCGTTTTCAATCACGGGATGTTTTGACAAAACAAATATTATCCAAAATATAGCAATTTAAATTTGGTCCGATGTTTATTTAAACAATTGTTTAACTACTAGATATTACCAATTATATTTCCATAACAGTACTAGTGCTGCCACAAATGTATAGTTCTAAAATATCTACAATATCGTAGTTCTAAAATATTATACGGAGATCTTCATTTTTCGATTCAACTTAAAAGGATCATCCAAATAGATATATTTGCTCCAGACTTTATATAGAAAAGTGACTAAAAATTTCATAAAGTAAGCATATCCATGCCAGATAATAATTCATTTTTCCATTCATGAAAATACAGCTCCATAGTGAAAGCCAAGCGAGGTGGAAATCATAATCATTTCAAGACGAAAATAAATACATTTTCATGTGTTTGTCTCATAAACATTTAAAAAACTAAAAATACCTAAAAACGTATTTGCAAATAGTTGCACATATAAATGTTGTTCGATTACCCTTCAATTGTTATTATTGTTGATGTTGTCGTGCATTTATGTTTCATACACAAAAACAGCCTTTTTTCGATGTTCGGTTTTTCAATTGGTTCTTGTTAGTTTTTGATGCCTACTTAGAGGCTGTTATGCAAGCTGCAATTTTGTGTTGCCCCTTTAATTTTGTTAGTAAGCATAACTGTATCTGCAATTTAGCTGAAAACCAAAGCCAAGCCAGAGACCCAAAAGAAAAATGTCAGTTGAGTTGAGGTTTATAGACCCTGTGTGTGTGACCCAAAAAAACGTAAATCAAAAGAACCAAGAGGAACGTAATACACGTAATAACGAAGCAAACGCGCAAGAAAATGGGAATGCCGAGCCGAAAAGTGACGGACGGATGTACAGAGTACGAAACGAATGTTGTAACCATCCAACATGTCTAGCTACTATACGTGTCTACTATAAAATAATTTATGTAATGAAAAATATCGTAATGTTGATGTTGGGCCCATAATTTCTACTTACGTGTATGTCAGCCACAACCTCGATCCCAGCAAGAATCCAAATACCACCCAACTAACCAACTAACCAGCAACCCAGCCCAGTCCCAATCCCAATCCCTTTTTGCTCGTAACTTTGTCACCAGTTGCACACACGCTTTTGTATTTGCATCATTATACTCGTACCAATCTGAATAGGTTTAACAAATAAAAAAGAAAATCCAAAGCAGATGGCAACATCAAAAGTGCTGTCCAATTATGCATTATGTAATACTCTGTGCTGGTGTACGAAGTTTTGTAAATGGTACTCTAGCCTCTATTTTCCTCCCCAATATCTTTTTTCCCTCTAAGTACACATTTAATTCATATAACTCTGTACATAGTCTCTATGTGTTTTTTTTTTTGGTGCAATGTGTGTCTGAGTGCGAAATAGTTTAAAAAGTTTTCAAAGGCAGGCGTGGTTGAAATTGAATAAAAATTATAGGGGCCTTACTTTTAGAGAGCAGTAATAAAAAAAATAAATAAAAAAAAATATTGTATCATAGTAAATATAAAACCAATATAAAAACTAAAGTTGCCATGGGTTATACATTTAATACAATTCCTCTAGTTTGCCTTAAATCGGTTTAAAGTCTTTAATAGAGATCAGAATTGTATCAGAAATTAAACCATTTTTGGCTGTTACTTAAATAAAACGCACATGGCAAGCAACCTTTTCAGATAGTAACAATTATGTTTCTAGTTTTATATTATTGTAAGCACTTGTCGTTTTAGAGTCACCTGTAGTTATAACAACTTGTAGAACACAAAACTATTAAGTAAAAATTTTGTAAAGTAAAATTAGTTTTCGTTTTCCATTTACCTCATAAAATAGACAAACTAACCAATTCAGATATCGATAGTGGAAAATATCAGACATTTCACGACAATATTTTCACAAGGCAGTCAAGTGGAAAGCAATTTCTGCACATTATTGCAATGGCCTCCAAGTGCATAATGAAAAGTTTCGCCAGACGAGACCCAGAAATGTAAGAAAAAATCAAGAATAAGGGCCGTTCAGTGGAAGTCGATTGGCTTTTAAGGAGTCACTCACATAAGAAGTTTTGTATGGTTTTCGCGCAAGAATGTGGAGGGTCCGCCCCTCGACACACAATTGAATTTGGAACACATGGGGGAAAAACCAAAGCCGGGAATCGAGTGGGGCACACAAAGTAACCAGGGAACTTTTTGGGGGCCTGACAGTTGGCCCAGTTGTGAGTTGTCCTGACACGGCAACGAAAATTGAGGCAATTGGGGAGGGCAAGTGCATTAGAAATGTGCATGCCCAAGAAGTTCCATTCGACAGTCGCCTGCCACTTGAATTGCCCCCAGAGACTCTATGCCACCAAGACCACAACCCCCCTCCCCCACCACCTCCATCCACCGCTTGCCCCGCGCTTTGTGTGATAACAACAAATCAATTTGCGCAAAATTTGCACAGAGATGGAGGTAGATGGTGGGTCGCATTGATATGGATATGGCAAATGCCAGTTGCTCGATGGTTAACTTTGCATTTAGTTTGCATGCCACGTCCTGAAGCGCATTTCCATGTAAGCTTCTCGCTTGTTGGCCAAAAAAAAAAATGGAAAAAAGGGAAAATGAAAACCGCTGGAAAGGAGGAGCCGACATGATAGAGGAGGCAAAAGGACGACCGAAAAGTGGTGATGACTATATGGAGAAGGGGGTGGTAGGTGGATCCGCAGGACAACCTGGGACAAGGACAGATTCAGACAGAACGGCAAGCGAGCTTGTCAGCTAAGAGCGTCGGTTTTTCAGCTCCTCAACTGAACTACGTATGGTTTTGGGGACGAAATGGAGAGACCTGAACACCGATGCCTGGGGATAAGCTGCAGCGAGGAAGCGAAACATGTCCTGACTATCCAATAGATTGCCGCTTTTTTTGCGGCGTACTTTTAACTATTTTTCACGACCCGACCAGATAACCATTTTACACCAGCTAACCAGATAGCCATCATTGCTGATTGAGATTATAAGGAACAACTAAGATACAATATCATTCATTGTTCTCTATTGTTTAAAACACAAAGGCACCTGAGGGAGAACCCGAAACTTGATAAGGATTAGCTCGAAAATGTAGCTTTAATATATGTTATGAGGGTGGATATTTGTAGTAGGAAAATGTAACTTAATGTCAGCATATTTTAACTGATGTTCTATTTTGAACATAGATTTAAGTAGTTAATATTTCACTTATAATTGTTAGAAATGATTAATATTTTAAAATCAATTCTAGTGCCATGAATTAATCTTTCCAATTATAGAATAATGTATAGTCACTTGTTGAACAACTATTATGAAGATGAGTGTAAATCAAGGGATCGATGTGTGAATGCCTTTCGGAGGAATTGTTTACTCATGAGCAGCATTTGGCTAACTACCATCGTCTTAGACGTTTGTTATTGTTGCTGTCGTTATAGCTAGTATTGTGTCTGTGTGTTTGTGCCTCGTGCTCCATATATATGTGTTTATCTCTATCTGTGTTTGTGTTGTAGATCATAAATTGTGCATGCACCGTAGCTATAAATAAGCAGAGACCATGGCGAAATGCGAACACACTCCATATCTCGCACACGAAAACACACAAATCCACATAAATATTATTATAAGTGTTATAACAAATCACCCAGCATACTGACAAACGAACACCCACATGTTGCTCTCACTCCGGGCAGCGACTCCAAAAACAGTGTTGCTTTAGTTTGTAATCAAAATCGAATATAAATCATACTTGTGGTCATCTGTCTGGGTGTGAGTGCCCCGTTACATGCAAAACAGCCATAAATCGTGGGGCCTCTCCACACATACTTTTCGGCCCCAAAACACTTTCACACCCAGGCACAGAGACACACAGGGACCAGTCATCATCATCATCATCATCATCCTCAACACGAACTTTTAGCACACGCAATTGGAGCATAAATACATCAAATTTGATTTTTGATCGGATTATCCCCGAGCCCGTCCCACTAAACGTTTACATTTCACCACCTGCCGTTAGATACGCATCGTGTTTTTGTGCTGGCTGCCATGGATCCTGCGAATGAGTCGACCGGGCCGCCCACTGATCCTGGAGTTCCCGACCACGCCCTGTTCGGACACATCCTCCGAGCGCAAGCACCAGATACTCTCCGATGTTGAGCTGAAAGAGCGGTATTTATAAGCACATATAAACATATGTTTGGTGTTAGCTCTTAAAGATTGATTGACATATCCACACAGCAAAGAAAATCTGACTTAAAAAATATGTATATTGTATATTTAATAGCAAACAAGATCAAGTCTTTTTCTTTTGAAAATATCTTATCGGAAAAGTTCTCGAGTTCATTTATTGTTTTAAATTGAATTACCTATTCTAATCAGGGACCAAAAATAATCGTTACTTAAAACTTTTATTTTTAAAAGACTAATGGAATTGCTTTACCAGTTTGATTCTAATTTCTTTGATTTCTACACGTTCTGTGGGTAAAAATTGACAAAGCTTTACTTATTTTCACATTTGGGTAATTTTAATATATTTTGTTGGTATAAGTAAACCCAAAGGTTTTGAATTGGGACGTTTGGAAATTAATAACAGATTAGTCTTTTAAAAATAAGAGTTTATAACGATTATTTTTGGTCACTGATTCTAATAAATACATTAAAATTCCAATAAATCAAAATAAAATATGCAAAAAACAGATCAAGTTAAACATAACTTCGAGCTTCTAATGTCTAGTATAAGAAAGATGAGTTCATAAATTGCTAGGTTTTTTTTAATAAGGAATTATCAAACTATAGATTTTCCCATATATTACATTTTCTGTGTGCTGTTGTGGTTCTTGCTCTCACTTTTTTTGAGTGCAAAGCGAAAGCAGGAACAGTAGCAATTACCCATGTTGTATTTGTTATTTCTACTGAGGGTACTAAAGCTGATTTTATTCCCCCGTAATGAAGCTCGTCGAAATCACTTCTGGCCAACGTACTAGACATCGACGATGACTTCCGGCACAATTGTCGCCCCATGACGCCCGGCGGAACACTGCCACACAATCCGGCTTTCTATCGCACGGTTTATGGGTAACGAGTCGCAATTGGCCCACGGGCCACATTGGGTTAACTGAATTCGGCCACTCACGTGCCACATTTCTCTCTCTCGTTTTCCGCCCGGTCCAAATGGCAGTCAAGGCGACGATGGCAGCATTGGGCCCATTGGCAGCACCCGAATGCCGGATGCGGTCACCCATCACACGTGCATCAAATCATCAACAGAATATGAACTAGGTTTAATCTTGAAGGAAATTCGCTTTATTACTGATCAGGTAAGTTGGCGACGATCAGGCAAAATGCCAAGGCCTATTTGGAAGATCAAACGTCCATTTGTACTAACTTCATATTCGAATAGCGTTCTATTTATAAAAACTATGCATGACCACCTAGTTATAGCACTCCAAGAAAATAGCTGTCGACAAAGTTTAATTGTTTGCTTCATCTTTTTCTCTCCAACTTAACCCACTCTTTCTCTTTGAACATTGATAACAAATGAAATAACAAAACATCAAATCGAATATCGAATATTGAATATCGAATGCACAGCTACGTAAAGATGACGAGTGCAATGACATTGCCAATGATTGGAAATTTGCAGCTATGGTCGTTGACAGACTGTGCCTTATCATATTCACAATGTTCACAATATTAGCCACAATAGCTGTACTACTATCAGCACCACATATTATTGTCTCGTAGCCATATGGGCGAGGTGGTTATTGTTATTGGTTTTATTATAAAATCAATTTGTTAATTATTAAATTAATAACGAAACTTTTTAAGTAAATTAAAACTAAAAAAGCATTAAAAAAGCACAAAAAAATAGGAAAACACATGATAAAAAACCCATGACTAAATAATACATCCAAGAAAATACTAAAAAAAAAAAAACTAAAAATTCGTCTCTGAAAACACAATAATTTATTTATAAAAATCTCGTTTAAAATGTCTTTCATTAAAATCAAACAGACACTAAAAAAGAGACTTAAAACCACATCATATACTAAAACGTTAAAAACTAACTAATTCCAATTTTCCTAATTCTATACAAAAAATCTAAATAATGGTAACTCAAAGAAATCCCCTCCCTTCCCCGCAAACCCCCACAAGCCAGTATCTAGATTTCTTCCATTGAATATATATATACATATATGTTTGACAAGCAAGCAAAACGGGTATATTTTCTTTTTAGATTTTATATTTTATATTTTATAGAATAAGCGAGGCGTTTTCATAAAAATAGTCACACGGGTTTTCGAAACTTATTTTTTTGACAGACTTCAAGGAAATTGCAGTATTTCAAGCAAAAACAAAATCCCAATACCTTTTTGGAAGACTTCAATTTGTGAGCTTTATAGTAAGAAATGTAGATGGGAAATTAGCAACGTGTATATGATATGAAAACCCAACGTTTTTGGATCTACAGAAGGACAACTAAATTTGTAATCTTCTTCAGCATTGAAGTCAGTCCAGGGATTTGTTCCGAGCAACTTTTTGCTAACAATTAGTACCTAGGCCAATTAAGAGATTCCGCGACATCCCCTCTCTAGACGAAACTGCATTTCCACAACAGAACCAATTAACCCAACATATCCTAAACTGTGTATCTAGTTCCCACTCCCGAAATTTGATCTTAAGTTTAATTTCTAACCACATGATAAATCCAAAACCAAACCCCAAAAAATAAAAAATAAAAACCAAACCCCAAAACTAAAAACCAAACCCCAAAAACTAAAAACCAAACCCCTTAAAGCTTACCAAAACCAATAGAATAACCAATCTGAATTGGAATTACGGAAATTCACTGGAATATAACAAAGAAAATTGAAAAATCAAAATGATGCAAATGAAAAGAGCGAAAATAAGAGTAATTGAGATGACGAGGCACAACAGGTAATGGTGAGCCCAGAATGCGATCAGTAAATGAAATGTATCCGAAGGACTGCATTTCATGTTGACTGGCGCCGCACGAGGAAATGAATTTATGAAATTAAATGGTTGCGAGCAATAATATCTGCGTGTTGATGAATTGCATGATTTTTGGTGATGCAAACGATGATCGATCGAACTATTGCGCAAAGTCCACGACAAAGGGCAAGAGTTCGCTCCTTCAGCGCATTGAGAACAGCGAACCTCTATACAGTCTAACTTTCGGTATTGATTTCACTCATTTACACTTACGTTTTCTTTTCTTTTTTTTTTGATTATTGAATACTAAAAGTTGAGGGCCCTGTACGACACCAGAAAGCAATTCAACACAGAAAACAAGCCAAACAATCGATTGGAGTAGAGGCAAACCAACAAATACAGTATGCGAGAAATACAGAAATACCAATAACAATGAACATCACAAGACCCTAGAACACGTAACATGCCGGTGCATGGGTAAAATTATGTGCTTGCTTTAGTGAAGGGCGCACAAAACATACTTGATCACAGACCACAACAACCAAAACATATAAACCAAGGAGCTTTATACAGATATATATGATGGAGTTTAGCGTGAGTCAATCTGACCCAACTTTTCATATATTTGTACCATACACGAATCCACACAAGAAACACACACTCGGTTGTTCGATGGCCAGTTTATCCCAATATTATAATCTAATAAAGTATGTTTCTGTCCGCTTACTAGACAAGCACACAATTTCAATAACAAAACAAAGGAATACAAGAAACCAAAATCTTAAAAATTAACACGGTCTGGGAGTTGCATGAGGAAGTGCGAAGGACCCTTATAAGGACGATATGGGTCTGCTTCGTATTTTCCAAAAGGACCCCATTACCAAGAATAGATAACAAAAAAAAGCAAAACTGTGTTGGTCGAAATTTCACACTGACTTTTCTTTCCACACAAAAGCAAAGAAAACGTTCGAAATGGAATTAGCTTTTTAATTTTTAAGTTACAGTTATTCTGCTTCTAATTGTAAATCTTGTGCAATGTAAACAATCAGAATTTTCTTTGAATATAAACAATATGAACACACCAAAACAAAAGCGAACAAAAACATAGAGGTCACAGTTAAAAATGCTAAAAAAAAATTCAGAAATAATTAAAGGAAATATGATTAGTAACTAAACGACGTCATTCAACTTAGACTAGGCTACACAGAAACCCATAAATTGTTAAGATTCTATCCAAAGCGCTAAAAGATGCGAGCTCAACACAACATACTAGAAATAGACTTACATACAAACAATAAATATATTTCGAATAACGAACAAAACGAAGAAATAGATGAGAAACTATGGATAATGAATAAAATTGGTTTTTATGCGATTTTGTTGAAGTACAATTTCAAGTATCAATTTATATACAGATTTTGTATAAAAACTATACAAATTTCTTACCCGCTCTTTTTTTGTTGTTTTATTTTTGAATGAATCAAGAACATTTATGAATAAGGTTTAGCTTTTGATAAACGATTAAAAATGTAAAATAATATGAGAACTTGGTATATTTTGATGAAAGGTGAAATTCTTTTACATTTTGTTGTACTGCCCACAAGAATAGCTTGAAAACCAATGGATCGGAAAACAGAATAAATTTGTGGGGACTTTTCTTAATGTTTTTGATAAACATATATTTTATTTTATATGCTTTTCCAATGCGAATGTCAGTGAGAACAATTAACGATAGATTTCAATCCTAACGCTTAAGAGTATTAACAAATAATAATAGAGAACATAGCAAACAAGCTGCCAGCATGAAAAATAAAAACAATAACTAATTTTAAATCTTTTATACATTTCCATCAATTGTGCTTATTTAAACACAAAAGAAAGCAAACCAAAAAGCTCAACTGAAATATCTGATGGCCGTTTTCAAATAGCAATCAACAACTGGATTATGTTCAACATCCAACTAGCTGAAGTTGAACAAAAGTTTTCATATAAGCAATTTTTAAAGAAAAATGTCACCCCAGTAAATAAATACATAGGAAATAGTAAGGCTCTCTGGGCTGAATAAAATTAATCGGCAACATTAGTCGAGGCCGCAATGCAATGGAGTAAGATGATGGAGATTAAATCTAATAACGTTCTAGTGCATAAAGAGGACAGTTTGGAAAAAAGTTCTTTCATCAACCATTAAATACACAGTGTATACATATATGTGTATATTTACATGGATATATATGTGCATACGTATATACTTCTTTTTACACAGACAAACAAGTATATATATATTAATATATAGTATACTATGTAATAAATTATAAAACAAAATATTTGAAGCAAATGATGAAACTTTTTCCTACAACTAGTTGCATTTAAATGAATTTTAAAAAATATACATAAAAAGTATATATTTCTTAAAAAAAATAAAAAAAAAACAAACTCCTTTCTCTATTAAAAATAAAAAATGAAAAACACACAAAACTTTAAATTAATATTTAATTAGTCATTTAAAAAGGGTTTAATAAAAACCAAATCAAGCGGGATGAAATCGTAACCTAGTAAATATTTAAATTAAATTAATTTTAAAAAAGTGAAAAAGAAACAAAGAACACAAAAACAAAAGAAAAGCGCTGATTTTTTATGTCGTTATTAGTATTTAAATTTAAATAATTGCGTATAAAGAAACATACAGAATTAACTAAAACAAAAACACAAAATATATGACATAAAAAATTAGAAGAAAATTTAAATTGGTCATTTTGACCTAAATAGTAAATTATAGAAAAAAATAAAAATAAAAGTTGAAAGAAACAATGACGAAAAGAAAAGGAGACCCGAGTAAAGCGATTGTAAAATTTTAATTATTATTCAATAATAAAAATTCAAAAAGAAAAGATTTGACAGAAATACCAAAATAAACAAATAGGTTTTATTCTCATCTAATATTACAATTGGACCAAGGACTTGAATGATGATGCCCAAGATGAAGAGAATCCTCTGCAGCTGCTGTCTACACACGGAAAGGTAAATTGTGTTATAATCTAGATCGTGTCCGAGTTAGGCTTAAGGTACTCTAATTCACACATTTTCACGAAACTAAATAAAAATGTAAATATTCATATATCAATGTTCATTAAAACAAAATTCATATTGTCATATACTCATAGCAAAACAACACTTAATACACTGTAAAAACCAATGCCTAGATTACGACGTAACGAATGGACAATCAAACGTTATAAGCTGAAAAAACGAAACAATCGCTTGTCATTTATATTCAAAGTGGTAAAATTTCACAACTGATTATCCAGATATATACATTTTTGCAAATTTTACTAAAGGAAAATTCTGATTCCCTCGCGCAGTTTGTCAACAACCAGCTGAAATCAAAATTAAAAACCAGTTCCTTCTTTACAATATTCCCATAACAGAAAAATTATATAACAAATAACTATAAATCCAGCTAGCCAAACAACTGAAATAAGATTAAAACAGCTGATGGATTGCTGCGTGTATGTATAACAAGTGATTTCATTTTTCCCCTGTGGAAAGTTAAAATTGTAAGAAAATGTCCTATATTTATCCCAATATTTTGGCATGATTTCTTTACGTCCTTCTTCTATTTATTTCCAATGTCCAATCAAAAAAGTTTATTTTCTAAGATCGAACCAAAAATAGATAAAGTATTCAGTCACATCTACTCTTACTTATGCACCCTTTTATATACATTTTCTTCTGCATGGAATGGTCTGATCATAAAATATAATAGTTTCCCTGACTAAAATGTCTTCTTATATCTAACCATTTTCATGATTGCGAACATACTTGGGAGTCATTCGAGGTGAGTTATTAAAACCATTCCATTTTTCAATATTTTATTAATTTTTTTTTATTTACAGGAACAAAACACGTCTGCGCTGATTAAAAACATTTTGGAGCATCATTACTTACATCAGCTTATACTTCTTATTTTAAATTAATTTGTTAATATTTCTGTAGCCATTGTTGTACCGCTGAAATTTGAATTACCATATCGTTTTAAAAAAAAATAAAATTTGTAATGTTTTAAAAATGCGCTTAAAGTTTTTCATCAACAAATTTAGAGAAGATTTCAGCATATGGAAATAACACTTTGAGGGGGTTGCTTCACAACAACGATTCTAAGTCTGCCAAATTAGTTAAAATAATAATAGTTAAACATTTTCGTACCAGGACTAAATTTTCAAATATTTGAAAACATTAAAAGGTTCAATTACATTTTCATATTAGCTATTTTTAGTTAAAAACTTTTAAATTAGTGATGTACAATTAAAATTTCTGTTGTTCATAACAATACCAAATTTATGACTCTTAGGCTCGTGATTGGATTTTATAAAAATCTGCATTCAAATTTGTCGTTTCAACGTTGATCAATTTTTTGACCAATTTTCATGTATGATATTTACAAATTTCCAATGTCTTGTAAACAGGACATCCAGAGTTCATAACATTACAAAATCTTAACAGATTTTAAAGTGGCATACCACTATATGTAGACTTGTGGTTCGATTCTCAAAAAATCTGCATTCAAATTTATCGCTTTAGCGATATCAAATTTTTGACCCATTTTCATGTTAGTTATTTACAAGTTTTTGATGACATGTAAAAAGGTGACCCACAATTGGACTTCCAACGCCCATAACTTTACCAAATCTTAACCGATTTTAAAGTGGCATACCTCTAAAGACTTGTGGTTCGATTCTCAAAAAATCTGCATTCAAATTTATCGCTTTAGCGATAATCAAATTTTTGACCCATTTTCATGTTAGTTATTTACAAGTTTTTGATGACTTGTGAAAAAGGGCACCTTCCACTGGACTTCCAAAGCCCATAAATTTACCAAATCTTAACCGATTTTAAAGTGGCATACCTCTAAAGACTTGTGGTTCGATTCCTTAAAAATCTGCATTCAAATTTATCGCGTTAGCGATAATCAAATTTTTGACCCATTTTCATGTTAGTTATTTACAAGTTTTTGATGACTTGTAAAAAGGTGACCCACAATTGGACTTCCAACGCCCATAACTTTACCAAATCTTAACCGATTTTAAAGTGGCATACCTCTAAAGACTTGTGGTTCGATTCTCAAAAAATCTGCATTCAAATTTATCGCGTTAGCGATAATCAAATTTTTGGCCCATTTTCATGTTATTTATTTACAAGTTTTTGATGACTTGTGAAAAAGGGCACCTTCCACTGGACTTCCAAAGCCCATAAATTTACCAAATCTTAACCGATTTTAAAGTGGCATACCTCTAAAGACTTGTGGTTCGATTCTTTAAAAATCTGCATTCAAATTTATCGCGTTAGCGATAATCAAATTTTTGACCCATTTTCATGTTAGTTTTTTACAAGTTTTTGATGACTTGTGAAAAAGGGCACCTTCCACTGGACTTCCAAAGCCCATAACTTTACCAAATCTTAACCGATTTTAAAGTGGCATACCTCTATAGACTTGTGGTTCGATTCTCAAAAAATCTGCATTCAAATTTATCGCGTTAGCGATAATCAAATTTTTGGCCCATTTTCATGTTATTTATTTACAAGTTTTTGATGACTTGTGAAAAAGGGCACCTTCCACTGGACTTCCAAAGCCCATAACTTTACCAAATCTTAACCGATTTTAAAGTGGCATACCTCTAAAGAATTGTGGTTCGATTCTCAAAAAATCTGCATTCAAATTTATCGCGTTAGCGATTATCAAATTTTTGACCCATTTTCATGTTAGTTATTTACAAGTTTTTGATGACTTGTAAAAAGGTGACCCACAATTGGACTTCCAACGCCTATAACTTTATCAAATCTTAACCGATTTTAAAGTGGCATACCTCTATAGACTTGTGGTTCGATTCTCAAAAAATCTGCATTCAAATTTATCGCGTTAGCGATAATCAAATTTTTGACCCATTTTCATGTTATTTATTTACAAGTTTTTGATGACTTCTAAAAAGGTGACCCACAATTGGACTTCCAAAGCCCATAACTTTACCAAATCTTAACCGATTTTAAAGTGCCATACCTCTAAAGACTTGTGGTTCGATTCTCAAAAAAACTGCATTCAAATTTATCGCGTTAGCGATAATCAAATTTTTGAACCATTTTTTGAAAAGGTGAAAGAAAAATTCTTAAAGGGGTTTTAATTCAAAATTATTAAATAAGAAAAATATATAGAGTTAATTAACGATTTAAATCTGGATATTAGGCACCGTGCTGCCAGATGATCACAGCGTTGCCAGACGATGGGCAGTGTGGATGGCGTGGTGCCAAATGAGCGTCGGCCTACTCTACACCAATTCGACAATTATTCTACAGAGCGCTAGCTGGCGTTGAGACGAGGTACTCAATAGTTCCCAATTCAAACACTACAATGATGTGGCGTGCAGAGAACCTTAGTATTGACCAACACTAAGACCAGTATGAATTACTTGAGCGCAATAAATGGGATGGAACGAAAATTCAAATTTGATTTTAAATTGTTGGTTTAACGGCTTTTCGGTTTTTTTTTTAAATATTTTAAATATACTGTTGTCTTTATAACTTCTATAAATACTATTGTTTATTTGGTAGTCCGATTATCTATTGATCGAAGTAACTAAATTACTTAATACAACTGCCCATTGAAATGAATTTCAAGTATTTGTTTGTTTTGGGCCTTTGGTTTTTCTTGATGCACTTGTCCGCCCTCGCAAATCAAATAAATTCGCGGGTAAATAAACAAGCATATGGATGGGTGTCCGTACACACATACACAAATGCAAAAGCGGAAGTCCTCGCATCTGAAA